TCGGAATTAATTACCTATTTGCTTAATCAAAAAAAGGAAAAAGAATTATCTTATCTTCAAGAAGCATTTTTTAAGGGGTTTCAAATCAAAGGTCCAGACATTAACCATTCAGAAATAGAATGAACTAAAAAAGTCCAGGAATTGTTGATGGGATTTAACCATTTAAAAGCGTATAAAGTTGAGTTTTTTCAAGGCATAATTGAGGAAAGGAAAAAGGGAGGAATTTATAAAAACTGGGAAGATTTAGTTAACCGCACCATAAGTTATTGGGAAAAGGTAGAAAATAACTCTTTTGAAGCGTGAGTAAAAAGTGGTTTATTTAGGAGTTTGGGAATAGATGCTGACAGTTTATTAAATAATCAGGATGCAATTTTTCGCTACTTGTCAATCAGAAAAAAACTTGTTGCAACTAATAATAACAGTTTGCCATTTTTAGATTTACCAAAAAATCAAAAAGAAAATAAAGCAATAATTAATCAGCGAGAATTTGAAAGTTTAGGTTTGTATACCAGTTATTTCTCCCGTTGAAAGGAACTATCTGAAAAAAAAGAATATAAAATCTGTTCCCTCTCAGAAGTTTTTCAAAAAAATGAGGAGTATGATAATCAAGAAACCTTAATAAATGTCTACGTGATTATTTGTCAACTAGAAAAAAAGGACGAGGGCAATTATACTCTTGTGCTACAAGATATTAGAAATTCTTTTAAATTGAATATAAGTTCAGCATTTTACTTAGCAAACCAGGAAAATCTCGTAATTCACAACGAATTATTATTTACCTTAAAAGTGGGAGTAAAACAGGGCAAAGTTAATACTTTAATTTGTGAAAAAATAGGTAATGGCACATAATTTTACCAGTGAATTAATTGAGGAAAAACTCCAAGAAACAGAAAAAAATAAAGCAGTAAGTAGTTTTTTTCTTCCTTAGATAGTTCATAAATTTGCTATTTGGGAGTTAAAAAAAGAGTAAAACGTTTTATATAGGTGTTTTCTATTCCAACAGTTGCTTATGTTAGAAATCAGAATTAAAACCTATGAAAAAAACCGAAAATATTGCCTATGTTAGCAATAAAAATATAGTATATTATGTCAAAAGGAAATAAATGTAGTAAATGTCTTCAAAGATTAGAAGAAGTTCGTAATAAATTAGCCAATCGTAAGGATTGAGAAGTAAAAGCCAAAAAAGGAGATCAAGAAGAAATTAAAAGACGGGAACAATATTATAATAATCCCAAAGAGGTTTCTATAACTGATCCTTGTTATTGTGCTTTCCAAGTTCCAACTCAAAGTTTTGGTGGAAAAGATTATTTTTGCGATAAATGTAAGGAACAAGTTTGATTACAATTTAATGAATATGAAGATTGTCCGCCTCATGTTTGTAAGGAAAAAAGATGTAATCAGTGTAATACTTCTTTTGTAGAACTCCAATGTCCGAAATGTAATGCTGAGCAAGAAAGAAAAAACCAAGAGCAAGAAAAATTAGAATTAGAACAAGGAATAAACTATCTACAATCTACTCTAAAAACATTGAAAACAATGAAAGGTCATCCTGGTTATAGTGAGTATACAGTCCAACAAGCAGAAAAACAATTAGCCGAAGCCAAAGAGAAATATAAGTCTAAATTTGGTGAATTACCTAGTTCTTTAAGGGATGACAATGATAATTCTCCTAACAACAGAGAGAGAGAGAGAGAGAGAGAGCAGAATTGCCCAATTACGAAGTGAGATACAGGCATTAGAAGCCATTGCTAATCGCACTCCTCAACAAGAGCAAGAACTCCAAACCAAAAGGGAGGAATTGAGGCAATTATTAGGAGACCAGCAAAGTCAAGAACCAACCAAAACTAACTGAACCCCTTGAATAATTGGAGGAGGAATTTTAGTCCTAGTTATTGTTCTAGTTGTTTATTTGTGGAGTAGGAAAAGCAAGTCAGGAAAATAAATTCTTAATTAGTGCAACATCCTCCTATAGTCCCGGTTCAAAGATATTAGAGTATAGTCTTTCCCTCTTTTTGAAGATAAAGAATTTGGCTGCCATCCCACTTCATAATTTGGAAAAAAAGACTTCGGGTTGATTATAATGGATATCTAATTTATGTCTATCATAAACTAAATAAGAGTAAAAACCAAAAAGTTCTTCCTCCTCTTGATTGGTAATTACTTTTTCAATACAATTGGAGGCTTCTTGGATAAACTCTTCAAAAGTAGGGAATTTATGATAAATGGTTTTTTGGTTGAGGTCTAATTCTTTTAGCATAAGTATAAATCCTCAACTGTTTTATAACGGATTTTAAGCTTGGCAATAACAATCATATTCATTTCCTTCATAAGTGTCTCGTCCCTTGGAAGTGAGAGGACAATAATAATCAGCTTTTGTGGCTCGATAAGTTAAACATTCTTGACAGATAAGAATTATTTCTCTTGGGTCATGATTAGGTAAGTTTTTAATATGACGGGGTTTTAATTGGGATTGGGAGTAAGGTTTAGAACAGAATTGACAAGGTTTAATTAATTCTTTTGGTTCTAATGGCTCGGTTTCAATAGTTAACTCTTGACCAGTTTCTCGTTTAGTTATTTCTAGTTGTTCGGTTAAGCATTCTGAGCAGGTTTTATTGCCTGATTTATCTACTAATCTTAAAAATTCCGTGCTTCATTCTTGTTGACAGTGGGAGCAAGTAAATAATTTATCCCCTTTATCTTTTGTTGGGTTTTTTACTTCATTTTGTAAGGTTTGAATAGTTTTTATATTGCTGGTTAATTTTTGTTTCTAATTTGTTTATGTTTTCTTTATAATCTGCTATTTTTTGGTCTTTTTCAGAGATTAGGGTGTTAGATTTGGTTAAGGTTTGTTTTCAGTTTTTTTCTTGCTCTTTTAAATTATCATTTTGATTGGTCAGTTTTTCGATGGTTTCTTTAAAAGTAGCAGTGTTAAGTTCTCAATTATCTTTCTCTTGTTGTAATTTTGCCATAGTTTCATATAACACAATAAAGTTAGTTTCTAAATCTTCTCGGTCTAGTTTTTTAATCTCCTTAGTTAGGTCAGTTTTTACCTCTTCCTGGATTTTTTTAGTTTCCTTTTTCGTTCAAAACTTCCAATTTCATCGGTTTTTTTCTGGTGAAGGAGGGGGAGTAGGTATTCCTTGGTCGGAATACTGCTTCTTTAAATCACTAGGTTTTATTCCTTCTTTTAATCTTTGCTTTTAATTCTTGTTGTAATTGGTCTTTATTCATAAGATTATTTCTTCTCTTTTAACTTTCTAATTTCTTCTTTTAATTCGTCAATTTGCTTTTGTTCTTTACCATTCTTTTTCTCTAACTCCTTTATCCTAGTTTCTTGCTTATCTTTCTGTTTTTCTAGTTCAATATTCTTGTCTTTAATCTTTAAGGAGTAGTTAAAAAAGAAGACTAATTGAACGATATTTCCTACAAAGGCTATGAGAGCTAAATTACAGCAATTAATTTGGTCGAGCATATTAATTTCCTATTCTTCCGTATTTGAAATTATAACTTCCTTCACCTTCTTCAAATATTCGGTTATATTCTTTAATCGATTTCAGTAATAATCGATAAATCTTTTTCTCACCAGCATCAAAATTAGCCTGAGAACTAAATGCTTCACTGACGGAGGCTCTTTCTTCTTTATTTTCTAAAGGTGTCATGCCTTATTCCATAAGCTCGTTCCATATTAGTTCACACAAAAGAAAATTGTTTTCGATACTTTTCTTCTTGGAATTCCTTGGGTTCTCAAAATTCAGTCTTAATCTGATGAGGAGCAATCCCTAATTTGCCCTCTTTGGGATTGCCTTGCTGGCTTTTGGGCAAGCACATGAAAAAGAAAGGTTTTTTACTGAAAGATTTCATAATTAGACTAACATCCTCATCATCAGGCCATTGGGGCAGAGTAACCATGATACCTTTTTCATTCATAAAGATTTCTTTTTCCATTTGGATTAAAATATTGACTAGTCTTTTGGTTCAAAAATCTAAACCTGAAATAGGAGATACTCCTGCTTTATTCAGTTTAAAAATAACATACTTTTCGACTTCTTTTCCGTCTAATATGATATTACTGTTATCTAATAACTGAAATTCTAAATTTAAAGGCTCTCGGAGTAAGTTTTGGTTTTTACTTCTCGGAATAGCTAAAAATTTTTCTTTGGTGTTGGGATATTCAATGATAGCAATTTCTCCTCTTTCGATAACCTCTTCAATAATCTCGTCAAAATATTCTAATAAACTTCCTTCACCGGTCAAGTGAGCATTGCCAATTAAGCAATTAGTTAAGTAATTTCGAGTTTGATTAACAAAAGTAGAATAATTACTCTCTACCGAAGATAAGTCAAACATTTCTTTATTTATTTTGCCGTCTCAATTAGTATCTGTCATAATAGTTATTTCTTTTCTCAGGGTTTTTGCTTTCTATATTTAGTGAAAATAGGTTGAATTCCTTTATTTTTGTCATCATCATTTTTTTCCTGTTTCGGGGTTATCGTCTCTCTCTCTCTCTCTCTCTCTCTCTCTCTCTGCTATTTTCTTTAAGAGAGAATAAAGACCATTAAAATCAACGGGTTCAGTAAAATATTTGGCTTCGGGGTCAAATAAGAGATTGATTTTCTTTAATTGGGCTTGATTTAACTGAATAAGGGAGATTGATTTTGCTCTTGTAAATCATTAACCGATTGTAAAGAATTAGTTAATTGTTGGGATTTATCTGATAATTGCTGTTCTAATTCTTTTCTTTCTTTTTTTCAATTACTTTCTAATTGCTCTACTAACTTCTTGGCTTCTTTTTGATTACCAATTTTCTGTTTAGCCAAAGAGATTAATTGTTTCCCTAAATCCTCAATTTTCTGTTCTAAAAGATTATTTTTTTGGGCTAGTTGTTGATTAGTTAGTTCTAATTGTTTAAACTGTTCCTTATAATAGTCCTTTTTAACTCCTTTTTTAGTTAATTTTTCCTCTAATTCTTTGACCCTTTCTTCCAATTTCCTTCTAAGGACTGGCTTGGTTAAAATAGTCCCTTGTTTTTGAGCTCCCTTTCATCAACTTTTAACAAATTGGTTATTATCGTAGTTCATAACATTTTAGTCTTCTTCTTTTTCTTCGGGATACTTTCAAGCCATAGCATTAAAAGCCGTAATAAATCCCCCATGGATAACGGGGTTTAAGAAAAGTCATTGATTACCATTTTCGGCTTCTTCTTTATGTCTAAATCCTTTTTGTTTACCTCTTTTATAAAGTTGTAAGCATCTTTCATCCATCACTAACATTCCATAACCATTGGGTAAATTTTCTTCTAAAACATTTTCAGCCCCAAATCTTTTTTCTAAATCCAAAGTTGGGAAGTTAACATTATCTTTGTATCCTCCAATGTCAATGGTGTTCTTGGCTTTGCTATCAATTAGACAAATCATTCTTTTATAACTCCTAATCTTGGTTTCCATCGGAGTATAATCAGAACTTTTATCATCGGGGTCTTGGGGATAACCTTTATTAAATTGATTAGATTTTTTCTTTAAAATGGAAGAGCCATTGAAAAGCTCTTGTAAGATAGATAAGGGATTACTTCAAAAGTCAGCATCTTTGGTGAAAAGGTTTTGTCCTTCAATAAAGTTATCGTCATTACAGATTAATTGAGGGACTTTTTCTTCTAATCGTAAATCAATATTCTCGGCTGTTTGTTCAATCAGAGTTTTAGTAAAATCTTTACAAGCACTTTCACTTTCTAAGGCTTCTTCAAATCTTTCTTCATTAGTGATTTCACATTCCACCGTGTCCATTATCCGAGGGAGACGAAAAGGAATTACATTAACTTCTCGTTTAAAATCTTCTCCTTTATGAATAGATAAATCAGGTTTTCAATCGGGACCATTTTTAGGTCAAGTTAATAAGAATTCAACTGAACGACCATTAACTTGAATGTTGTTAGTTCGGAAGAAACGATTTCAGAGACTATCCTCGTTTAATTCCAAGGCTCGAAAGGTTCGGTCGTAAACGACTTTATTTTCTAAGGTTTTTAAATAGTTGTTTTTTTCAATTGTCATAGGTTAGTTGTAAATGTTTCAACTGTTTATGGCAACTGTTTAATTTTAATTTCAACTGTTTTTTTAAGCCTAATATTAGGTTCTCCAACTGCTTTTTAATTTATTAGGCACAGTAAACAGTTGAGGAAAACTGTGCCGAGAAATTAATCATCAAATAATTTACTTAATAAATCATTCTGCTCCCTTTCTTGCTTTCTTTCTAATTGCTTTTCTCGTAATCCTTCCAAAG